GGGGCCAGCCTGGGGTTCCAGGTGAGGCGCGGGCCCGGACCCTCATAGCCAGGCCCGCACCCTCGGGGTGCCCGCCACTCGGGGCGGGGAGGAGGGGGAGGGCCGGGACCCCTGGCTTCCTCGGGCCCTACCGGGCGAGGAGGGCTGCGCCCAGGTCCGCTCGCCTCGCCCCGGATCCCGTCGTTCCGCTCGTCTGGGAGAAGGACACCTGTAGAAAGTGCCGCTGGGAACTTTTCTGTGCCTGATCCGCCCGCGATTACAGAATTCAGGTTTCGAGTTTGCACAATAGCGTTGGCTTTGAGGAACAGGGAAACAGGTGCTCCTCCCGTCTGGGTGCGGGGGTCACTGCAGGCGGAGACGGGGTCCCCGGGCCTCGAGCTCCACGTGCAAGGCGCCTGGCCGGAGAGGCCGGCCCCGCACGTCTCCGGTGGACCTCTCTCCGCTAGCCGGGGCGGGAGCGCGTTACGTCGGCGGCTTAGCCCCTGCTTCTGCCATCTGGGCCCTCTCCCTGCCGGCTCTTTGTGCCTCCTAATCCCCGGACGCAGGAAGCCCGCGGGAGGGACTTGGGTCTCGGGGCCTTTCTCCGCCTCAGGCGGCTTTGGACACCTTTAGGGAACGTTATGGAGACCCAGTGTCTTTTCCACTACCGAGGAGGGTGAGGTTGCGCCGTGGTATGTTGGGATTTGGCGAGGAGTGAAAAAATTCTGTCTTGCCAGAGAAAGTGTGCAAAGTTTGCTCTTGGTTTGCTCGGGCTGGACGGTTCGCAGACACACAAAGCTTTGGCTGTGGGGAGAACTGACTGTAACCGGGAGAGCCGTGTCGTGGCCCCATGAGGTTCTCACCTGAGACAGGTGAGCTTTGGGTGAGGTGGGCGGGGCGTAGACTCAGCCCCCTTCCCATGGGGATCCATGTGCCAGATGCAGGGCGTCTTAACTTGGGCTCTAGGGATCCTCTGCAGAGTTTACAGCTCAAGGTCCTATCAGGCTGTGGAGGGGAGGAGGGAGGGAATGAGTGTGTCAGGGAGACAGGAAACCCCAGGTGGAGGAACAGCAGCAGTACAGAAGAGCCCTGGCCCAACACAGGGGGAGCCAAGGTCAGAAGTGGCTTTTGAGGAAGACAGATCTGGGCCTTTGTGAACTGAAGCATGAGGATGATCCTGGAAGAGATGGTCCAACTTCTTCATTTTATACACAGGGAACTCAGATTTGGTTTTCCTAAACCATTGGCCCACAGAGCTCACTTATGTCAGTCGGGACTCAAACCCAGCTCTGGGGACTCTGACCAGTGCTGATTCCTGTTCTCTGAAGTTAGACTCAGCCCGTCTCTGTGGCCATGGGGCCACTGGACAGTGTTTCCCAGGTCTGGGATCATTGTGCATCCCTACTCTTTCCGGAAGCAATGGAGTATCCCCTTTAGCAGCAATTAATATAACTTTACTAATTTAGCACTTAGTAATGTTTTAATGTCCAAACATTAAAAGGAAAAAGGAAAAGACCCTTAATCTCAGATGACCCTTGTTGGCATAAAAAAAAAGGTAATAGGACCCCAATGGGGAAAATGAAGTGTTTTAGAAAGTGTAAAATAAGAGGGAAAAAACTTCTCCCTCTTGCCTTTCATTCTTTCCTCAGATAATGTTCATTAAGTTTTTTAGTGTATTTCCAGATTCAAGTGTAGTTTTGAATTGTGCCTTGCTGATTTCTTGCTACATGATCTTGGCTTTGGCACTTAACTATGCCAAGCCTCAGCGAGCCTTGTTTTGACAAAAGTTGACGAGAGGATGCAAAATGTCATAAAGACATGTGACCTGGCACACAGCATGCACCAGGTAAAGGTGGGTTGCTTAGCATCCCCACCAAGCAGAAAAAGCGTGGTCACTTGTCCACCTTCGGGCAGACGCTTGGGCCTCTTGGACCTCCCTGATGGTTGTGAGGGAATTTGACTTCTCTGTCCAGAAATCATGATTTTTGAAAACCTCTAGAGATCAGAACTTTTAAAATGAGAATGTTGCTCCTGGGAGGGCAGAGGTAGAGGTCCGTGGCCTCTCCTAACCTCACCTCAGGTTCCAATAGCCCTTGGTAATTCTGCTGCTCCTTGGAAGAGCCAGGAATGAGGCCTAATGGCCAGACCCCGCTGTGGGACCTTTCCTGGGAGGAGTGTGTGTGTGTGTGTGTGTGTGTGTGTGTGTGTGTGTGTGTGTGTGTGTGTGTGTGTGTGTGTGTGTGTGTGTGTGTGTGTACAATCTAATCTGCTCTACTTTCTGCTCAAGGGGAGGCTTAGCTGTATATATTCTGCATCCTGATGGGTGGGTGGGTAGAGGGAAGCACATTCCTGTGCTTCTCTGTTGTCATTAAGGAGATTTTCTGCAAACTCCATAGTGCCTCCTTTAGGAAACAGGTATCCTCTTCTCCCAGGACTTCCTAGCCCCAGGACTCCCCCTCCCATAGAGAAAGTGGTATGCAGAGCCAGAAAGTTTGGATCCTCTGCCATCAATCTGTGATCTGCTGTGTATCCCACTGGAGACACTGAGCATCCCTGGCAAGAGAAGAGTCTCTAGGAGTAACGTGGTGTTTCCTGAAGGATCCTCCCAAATGTGTCAGAGGCAGCTTTTGAGACACCTGAATCAGGGGCCAGGGTGGAGGCCAGAGAGGCCTGTGGTCCCTGCGCCTGGTTGGCTGCTTTGAGCAGCCCTGGCTGCCTGGACTCATTTATCCTGAGTACTCAGCCCAAAGAGGCCTTCTTATCTCACACAGGCGATATCATTATCAGGGCTCCTCCTGAGTCAGGCATGCCAGGTCTGTTTGGCAACTTTGTTTTTTCCTGCCCAGGAGTAGTTTGCAGGGAGAAGTGGGGTATGGGACAGAAGATGAGTGTTTCCCATGGATGCCACCCATACTCTGCCCTTCTCCAGCCCTGGCTCCCTAGGTTTCCCCAGGAGACTCTCCCTAACCTGTGCCCTGTCCCCATGAAGCTTTGCCCAGCTCCCTTGGGGTGGCCTTCCCTCCCCGCCCTGCCTCTCTGAGGAAACTGGCCCTTTGAAGAGTCACCCCACTCCTTTCCGTTCCTAGGAACCACAGTGAATTCTTGAGCTAGGAGAGGCTGCTTCTCTGGGCGTGGGGACAGGGAAGCTGCTAGGTTCCTGACTCTACCTTTCAAGAATTCAGCAGAGACCGGAGACACCTAACTCAGTGTTCCCAGGGTTTGATGAGAGGGACATCTGGACACAGGACTGTTTGATTCTAGTAAATAATACTATTATTGGATCTCCTTGCCAAGGAGCTGGGTGTCCTGGAGCCTTGGGCTGAGGCAGGGCCCATAAGGGTATCCCCAGCAGGATGTCAGACATGACATGCAGCATGGCCTTGGCCTTGGCTGGAGACCTGAGATTGGGGTGGGGGGCAGTTCCCTGAGGGACCATGTGGGGCTACAGCCCACTGCTCTTTGGGGACCATGGCTCCCGACTGGAGAACAGCACCTTTGCCTAATTGATCCTGGTTCGGTCCGAGCTGTTTATTCGTCTATTCAAGTCATCCATGTAAATCATCCACCTTCTCCCCAGAAGGGCTTTGCTTTTCCAGGTACTTGGCCACATGGAATCCGTCACTTCCCTAGAGAGAGGCTGGTGTTAGATTGGAGAAGGGGACTGAGGCCCCCAGAATGGAGATGTGGTGAGGATGTGCGCATTTTGACTTTCCACCCCATCCTCACAGGCCTAGGGCAGGAAACCCTCCTTGTGGGAAGAAGCTGGATGTGGCAGGAGGACCCTCCCAGGGTTGTGGGAGGGGCCTGTGGCTCTGTAGGATGGACAGTGACACCTGAACCCAGACAGGGAGGGCAGGGAGGGCTCTGGCTGCTGACCCTAGGTGGTCCCATGCAGCCTCCTGTGGGCAAGGCCCTTTGCCCTGGGAGAGAGGCTTGAACTGAGCAGATGGTCTGCAGTCAGGTTATTGGGACTAGGACTCTTACTGCTCGGGCTTGAGGGCTCTCAGAATCAGCTATTTCACAAGTAATTGTAAGAATTACATGAGATGATGCATGTTAAGTGCTTCAAGTAGCATCTAGCCACAGTTCCCTTTTATTACTTAACAACAGCAGTGACAACAATTCTGTGGTTCCCGCCCCCCTCTCTGTCTGTGTTTTCCTAGTCCCACCTCCGTGGAGGTGCCTTTTCAGCAAAGGTTTGGTTGCTAAGCTGCTGGCCAGGGGCCTGCCTGGCGCCTCTGGGAGATTGGGTTTCCCAGGGCAACTCAGGCACTTTGCAAAGGAGCCGTGGGCATCTGAGTTGGCACGGAGGGGTCAGCAGCCGCCCTAGCCGCTTAGAGGCCTGCCTTACCACTCCCCTTTGTGGGAGGTGCCGGGGTGCACTCACACCCAGCCCATGGAGGCCAAAGCCACACACGGGCCTCACACAGGCCTCACACAGGATGTTGGGGAAGGGAGGGCAGTTTCAGCAGCAGCAGACTGGCAGGAGCATAAGCAGAGAAGAGAGGAGAGGAGAGCTTGGGACTCAACTTCACACTGTGTTTGCTCCCGGAGATCGTGAACATGGGCAGGTGCTAGTGTGGCTCCAGGAGCCTTCTTTCCCTTGGGCCCGAGATGTCCAGAGTCCTGCTTTTGGATGTAGCCTCTCCCTGCAGATCAATAGAAATGCCCAGGTTGTTAACAGGACCCCCTAAGGGGCTGGCCCATCACCCACCTCCAAGACAGGCTGGCTCAGCTTGGCCAAGCCTTGATCTCATGAGGACAGTTTAGCCCAGGCATCCCAAACAGTGTTAGTGTGGGACAAGCAATCTGGTCTGGGGACCCCCTTCTTCCTTCCTGCAACACAATCAGACCTGCTACTTAGAGCAGAGAACCAAGACAAGTACCCCGCCATGCATTTATTTTTTTCTCTGCCGCTACTGGTCTCTGTCCTGAGGGCCTGCAATGCAGGGGTGGTGGGAGGGTCAATGTGTGACCCCGCTGCAGGGTCCAGGCAGAGGGATGGGAAGGGCAGACAGGGTGAGGTGTGGCTAGCCTGTTGCCAGATAGGTAGCCCTCCTCTTTTATTCCGGGGTGGGCATCAGGGTGTGAGGAGACTGATTCTAGGCCCTGGTATGTTGCGCTGGCCGGCAGCAGCGTTGGATGACTGGAGCAGTAAGAGAGAAGGAAATCGCGGGGTCGGCTGCCCACGGGGAACTCTCAGGCTAGTTCCATGCAGGCAGCACAGACCTGTGGGGGGAATATGTTCAGAATTCGCCACAGGTCAGCAAGTCTCACGTGTCTTGGCCCTAAAGCCTGAGCTCCGGCCCCCAAGGGAACAGAGAGCGGGGCAGAGCAGAGCAGGCAGCTCAGAGGTAGGTCTGGTCATGGACAAAGTGTGCAGTGGACAGGAACGGAGGCCCGGGTTGGTCAATCTTTAGAAGTTCAGGGACCCGCAGCCAGGCGTCTAGTTGCAAGCAGCCCAGGCCCTCTTCTGTGGGTGGGTCTAAAAAAACAAAGAAGTTCAGGGGATTGAGAAGGTGTTTCTTCTCAGGAAGAACCCCTGCCAAGGGTCTAGCCAGGATCCTCGGAGCTCCTTCCAGCCCCAGTGACTTTGCCTTAGATCCTTCTTGGTTTCAGACTTGGGAGGAGCTCCTCAGCTTGGGGGGTACCTGGACTCATCTCTTCTCCCACATCCCTCGTGGTGTACAGTACTCAAGAGTTTGCTAACCCCCTGCCCAGCCCTTCCTGTTGAAGCTCACAGCCACCCCACTTGTCACAGCCTGTGAAGTAGTAACATCCTTTACCTCCAGCCCCAGGACCCTGAGGCCTAAGGTCACACAGCTGGTCCAACCCACCTGTCTGTTCCCTGCCTCTGCACCCGTTTAATGTCCGTAGCAGGGGGAGTAGGAATGATTCCCCCAACGGGACTGAGTGCCTACTATGAGCTTAGGGCCACCCTCACAACTGACTACCACCTGGGCCTTCACCCCTTCTCTGTGTGATCCTCTTATCTACCTGCCTGGGAGGCAGATAAACCAAGAGAAGGAAAAAAATCACCAGTAATCCCATAACCCTTCCAGTGTGTTGTTGACTTATGTAAATATTTTTAATAGATTCTACCTGACTCTTGGAGACAGTACCTGTTTCCATGGCCATGGTCTCCTGCCCTTTAAATGACTGTATACCTTCCACCATGGGGCTGAGCACCCTTCACCTGCCCCCTGTCGTTGGCCGCTTAGGTTGCTTCTGATTTTCCCTAGTGGCCAGCACGACATGGGGGAGGAGGACATCCAAGGAGACAGATGGGTGCACGTGTCCGGTGGTTTTCGGAACCATTTTAACCTAAGGTGCGGTCAAGCGCTGAGGGAAGGGGGTGAGAGTGGTCAGGATGGGTTCAGACGGGGAGGCTTTTTGGAAGGTGATTTTTGATATGCTGCTTGAGGGGCAAGAAGGTTGTTTCAGACAGAATTGTGGAGACAGAAGCACAGAATCCATTGTGAATGCAGCCTGAAGAGGGGCTGAGCAGATGGAGGGGCCAACTCGAGGCCAAGCAGAGGGGACGTGGGGAGGAGGGGACGTGGGGGAGGGGAGGGTGGGCCCCATCAGATCCCTGCCCAGAGCAGTCTGTGGGTTCCCATGGAGTCAAACTGCAGCTCTTTGCTGGGGCACACCAGGCCCTCTTCCGACCCACTTCATCTCTCCTTGTTGTCTGTACTCAGCCTCTCCTGGCACACGTGAGCCTGTTCCAGCTGCCTGGCCCACCCTGTCCTGAATCTTGCCGTGGTTGACCACTTCCTGTCATCATTCAGGCCTGGGTGGAGGTATTACCACCTGCTTTCATTCATCCAGTGTGTGTGGGGTGAAACAGGGCGGGAGTCCCTGAGTAGGAAGAAGACCCTTGTGGAGGGTTGCACAGGTAGTAAACTGTTAGTAATAGTTAACTGTTCCAACAGGACCAGTCCTGGGGAGCAAAGCCAAGCCAGGAAGTAGAGGAGAGGGAATGTCAGGGGAGGCATGTTTGAATAGAGGGAAGGGTGGGAGGCAAGTGAGTATCTGCAAGAAAAGCGAACCAGGCAGAAGGAATTCAAATCCACAGGTCAGGCTCTGGAAGGTTCACCGAGTCCTTCGACCACCTAACCCTGGTCACTCGATCACGCGTCTTCCCTTATTTTCTTGCTCGCTCTGATCTCTTTCTGACACCATCCCGCTGACTGATTGCGTACCTGTGAGTCATCACACTCTCCCCTGCAAGGATGTAAGCTTGGTGAACTGGGGGATCTCGTCTGTCTGTCACGGTTGTATGCTCATTCCTAGGGCAGTGTTTGCTCCGTGCCAAGCACTGTGTCAGGCACTGGCGTTTGGCGCTGCTCCCGCTGCTCCCAGCATACGAGCTCTCTGGGCCTCGAGGAGCTGTCCTGGGGGACACTTGGCTTGGAGGAGCTGAGCTGTAGTGCTTAAGCCCTGGCTGTTGGTCCCTTACGTCTCTCTGCCCCACCCCCCAGGAGTGGGCTGAGCAGGTAGGATCTGTTCCACACCAGGAGGCTCCAGGCCCAGGTTCCGGAAGCTTCTCCTAAGAGAACCTGCTTGTCTGGGGTGAGTGGGGCTGGGAGTTTGCCTGGAGGTGAGTCCAGCCAGTCCCAGCCCTGTCCACCTTCAGGATGGGATGGTGCTTCTTATGCCTTGACCTGGGCAGTTATTTCCGTATCGGGGGCTACACTGAAGGTAAGTTGGAGCGAGGAGCAGATGCTGGGCCTTCCCTGCCTTGGTCCTGGCTCTATCACCCTAGGGCAATGGGGTCCCAGCCCCCATGGAATGAATGGCAGATCCATGCAAGGCCACTCAGCCCTACCCAGCCAGACCTCGCCAGCGGCCAGGCCCCTGGCCCCAAACTGCTTGGTTGGCTCCCAGTTGAAGTCATGTGGGTGTGTGTGTCTGCGTGCGTCTGTGCCTTTTAACTGCAGGGGTGTAATTAGGCATCCTCTGTCTTGTCATATCCATCCTTTGCTGCCTCCCAGAGCCCTTAGATTTGGGAATTTGCCAGACCTGGGGTCAAATCCGTGTTCTGCTGGTTCTTTCTCAGTGACCTGGATGAGGTGCCCAGCCTCTGTGGTCTTCATTTCTTTGTCTGCCAAGTAGGGATATTCCATGCATCTCCCAGGGAGGATCTGGAAGGTGAATGAACATCCAGGATGAGGTTTAGATGCACCTTGTTCTAACACACAAAGGTTTGGTTCAGTGCCTGGTACGCAGCAGGTACTCTGAGGAGCAGTTGGGTGGGTGGAGTGCCCGCCCCACCTTCCCAAGTGGGCTGCCTCCCACCCTGCTCCAAATCCTATCTCCCTCCCTCCCACCTGCACATTTTTCCCCGGGACTGTGTGATGTCACCCTTGAGCCTCTGTGGGTCCTGCACACAGATAGCCCTGTGCCCTCTTGTCCCCACCACATGACCTGCGCCAGTCCCTAGAGCAGAGCCAGGTTGGCCTCTCCCTGGAGTCTGCAGGCCCCTGTCCTCCTCCAGGGCATCACTCCCAGCTTCCTCTGACTTCTGACCCAGTGACCTGGGTTGGGGGAGAGAGAGCAAGAACAGGCACCCCCAGGAGCCCCAGGCCGATTGATGAGTTGGCGCCACCCTCCCCCACGGCTGGAATGTGAGGCCACCAGCTCAGCTGTTTGTCCAGGAGGCTGAGGTCACTGCAGGCCTGTTTTCACTCCCAGTCCCTGGAGCCTCCGGGACTTTCCTGTGTTTGTTCCCTGAACCTGCTGCAGGGCCTCGGGTCAAGTGGGTACCTGGGAGCCTCCCCACTACCTGTTGATCCTTGGAGAAGTGGGGTTCCTGCTCTGGCTCCCCCAAAAAAGGCACAAACCTCTCATACCCACCCCTTCCCCCACCTCCCGCTAGTGGTGGCCTTTCCAGTGTCCCCAGAAGGTGAGGTGCTCTGAGGTCTGGTCTTTACCTTTTCCCAGCTGGGGTGGGTTTGAATTGCCGTAGGATGTGTGTCTCTGCCAGAAAGTTCCCCCAGCTCTGCCACATATGTGCCTCCCATGGTCCTTTCATATGCAGTGTCTCAGCCTGATGGTTAATTTTTATCACCTCCCAAAAAGCCGGAAACTTCAGGGCATCCTTCAGGTCTCAGCTCAGCTACATTTTTCTCTCTTAGGACATCCCCTCCTTCTCCCCAGCCTGGGCCAAGTGCCCCCTGTGCCTCCCTGTCAGAGCACCCGGCACACTGCACCACCGTGTCTTTACCTGCCCCTGCTCCAGAGTAGGCTCCTCGGGGCAGGAACTGGCTCCGCCTCCTTCCTTTCAGAGTCTAGTGCTGAATGAATGAAGCCATTTCCAGGGTGGGCCTGGCCCCTGTGTTTCCAAGGACAGACCCTGATGTCCTGTGGTCAGTGGGAGGAAGCCAGAAGCGGGAACAAACATGATCCTTCCTCCTTCCCCCAAGGATGATCCAGAAATAGTTCCCCTTGGATTGGAAGTGTATTCTATGGTGGGCAGATGGTTTTGGAGCCTTAAGCTGGTTTCTTTGTTGGGAGTACATTTCTTCTCCCAATTTGCTTCCACTTGGACCTGTGGGAAAGGGAGCCTTTCTGAGCGCACCCCAGCACCCCAGGGGAGCTGGAACTGGGAGAGCCAGAGATGGGGGCTGGGGAGGGGGCAGCCAGGAAGCCTGGGGCTAGGACTGCGGCTGCAGAGACCTCATCAGCCCTGGGGGTGGACCCAGCTCCACTGTGGGTCCCAGGTGTGGAGTGGGATGGGCCAGCACCCCTGACTGTGTGCTCTGCACCTCGCCTGCTCCGGCTCCTAAGCTGAGAGTCCCTTGGCAGGCTTCCCTGAAGTTAGAAGGAGGAGTCTGCCCAGGTGTACTGACTCCCAAGAGAGAGTTCTGCTGGGCCCCATTAGAAATGTCCCTGCCTCTCCCCTCCCCCATTTGGGTTCTGACTTGAGAGCCTCTGCATTCCCACCTCCTAGCCCATTCTGGAGAGAGGCTTGTGAAGTTTCCCTTTCTGTTTAACCAGAGTTTTATGGGTCTTCAGAAAACAGGTTAACAATTAAGCTTAATTAACCTCAGGGCCTCTGGCCCTCCTGGTTCCTATAAAGCCAGGCTAAATGGCTTCCTCCCCCGGCTTCTCCCGTTGGCTTTATAAGGCCACAGGTGTCTAGGAGCAAGCATCAGAGCATTAGGCAGCCCCGGCCTCCAGGTACAGAGCTCTGTCTGGTTTCCTCTCCTGAAACCGGGAACCAGAACCACACTCCAGGGGTCTGGCCCTCCTGGCCCAGAGGGTGGCTGCCTTCGGTGCTAGGGGAGAGAGGCCAGTGCCTCCCTTGCCCTGGTCCTCAGCAGCTCCTCCCCTTTCCCCAGGGGGCTGCACAGGAGCAAGATGAGGCGGTTCCTGAGGCCGGGACATGACCCTGCGAGAGAGAGGCTCAAGCGGGACCTCTTCCAGTTTAACAAGGTAAGGGGAAGCGGGGGGCCAACAGGGTTTTATGTCAGGTTTGAAGGTGTCCCTCTCACCACAGGCTGGGCTGGGGGCACTTGAGTCGCCCTTACCTGGATTAAGGTACTTACTTGTAACTGCCTGCAATGCCTCGTGGGAATCTGACTTTGGAAATGGGTTCTGGTTAGAGAGGCTTTCCTGGGGAAGGGCAGTAGGATGCCCAGGAGTTGGCACTCCTTGTCCCAAGTTTCTCACTGACTCTGTGACCTCTGCAAGTCAACTCTGTCCCTTCCAGCCTCAGTTTCCCCATGTGTAAAATGGGGATAAAACAACCTGCCCTGCTTACCTCCTCATGGGGTTATTGAGGAGGCTCAGGGCTGGGGAAGATGAAAGTATGTTGAACCCTGCAAAATGTAATAATGTTCCTGTGATGCCAGTTTCCTTGGTGCCCAGGGGCCACAGGCCATGACTGTTCCCTCCCTCCCCAAATTGCCCCCAAAGGAAAATGCAGCTTTCTCTGCAGGTGAGATGCATGATTCCTTCTGACAGGCTCCAGGCCTGCGTGAGTGTGGAAAGGCGCCTGCAAGAAGGTGCCGGGGTTGGCATTTGACTACCCCAACCTTACACACCTCCTAAGGCCCCCGAAAAAAGTGTCGTGTCACTTGAGATCACAGGGAGGGTCCCAGAAGCCTCGCAGGGCTTTCCCTTGGGGGCCGGGCCTGAGAAGGTGACCTATAAAGGGAAAACGATCACAGCTTGGTTTATTAGGTCAGAGCCCACCTAGCAATCTGCAGCTGTTAGGGAGTAATTAGCACCTCACCTCTGCTTTGATCTAGGCCTTTGGCCCATGCCTGAGCTTCCCTGCACCATAAAGGCAGACTCCAGGAAGGGGAGCATCAAGATGCTCTTCCCCTCAGGGGTCCCGGGACCCCTCCAGGACATGCTGATGGGTAGGGCTCAAGTCTAGCTTAGCCACTTAGGAGCTAGGTGACCCCATGCCCATCACCCACAGCATAGGCTTGTTATGAGGATTACGTGGAGTTAGATCATTTAAGTGCTAGGCAAAGTGGTCCAGGAACATTGGGTGCTGTTTGCAGGGGCTGCCTGCCTCCCAGGGATAGAGAGCTCCCAGGCGCTTGTTTTTGGTGAATCAGGGTCCCAATGTGCTCTGCGTTTTCCTCTGATTTTCTTGACCTATGACTGTGAGGCCACTGGCCTCTGGGATCAGGGCTTCCCGAAATGAACGCCTCTTCCCATTGGCAGAAGGAAGCTGTGAGCAGGGCTTTTGGGCCTTGTGATATGGGGGTGCATGTGTTATGACTGGGGGATCTTGGGGCCCCTGGGGGCCTGCCATTCTCACTCCCAAGGGAGCAGCCCATGAGTGCTGGGTGCGGGTCTCAGAACCTCAGCATCTGCCCCAGGGCCTGGGTGACCCCTGTCGCCTTCCATTGCCCCTGATGACGCTGGGATCTCACACCCCAAAAAGGTGGCCAATTCTAGTGGAAACCGGATAAACAGGCTCAGCAAAGAGGGATAAACCCCCGCCCCAAGTTCCAACTGTGCAGCAGTAGGGTGGGGCTGGGGCGGGGCTGAGGCTGAGGAATCATCCCCCCACTTCCCCCACGCGTATTCCTCAAACCTGGCTGCCCCACCCCCAGACCTCGCTGGGGAGGGTGTCTGGAGGCTCCTGAAATTCCTTCCTTCCTTCCTTCCTTCCTTCCTTCCTTCCTTCCTTCCTTCCTTCCTTTCATTTGCAAGAAACATGCATTGAGTACCTACTGTATACACAGCCCAGGGCTGAGGCTGTGAGAATCTTAGATGATAAGACCCTTGCCCTCCAGGACTTTTATAGTCTGGTGGAAGGAAGAGGGCTGATGGTCAAAATTCCACTTTCTGAGTGTAGGAAGGGGAGAGTCTTAGGGGGCACTGGGGAGGGGAAGAGATTAGTTTCATCTAGGCTCTGGGTGAATGGTGGAGCCAGAAGGGTTGGGATGCCAGATTCTGGAAGCTTTGGGAACCTGGGTGGTCCCACCCACACCAGCCCCACCCCAGACCCCTCCTCTTCCGTGAGCGGATCTCATTTATGATTCAGAAATGCTAACATGGGACTTTTTGTTTTCCTTTTTTCAATCTTTCAATTAGAAACAGGTAAACTCAGAGCACTCAAGGGATCTTTGCATTGACTGGAGGGCCCCATAGTGGGGGTGGGGCCCAGGGCAGGAGTAGAGCCGTGTTTCCAACCTCAGCACTATTGACATGTGGGGCCTGTGGGGCCTGCTGTGTTGTGAGGCTGTTTAGCAGCACCCTGGCCCCACCTCTCCAAGACGTGACAACCAGCAATGTCTCAGGACATTGCCCAGTGTCCCCTGGCAGGTAAAATGGCCCTGGTTGAGAGCTATTCAGGACATGAGATTGATGAGATCTGGTGATAGAAGGAATATAAAAGGGAAGGGAGGTGGATGTCCTACAGGAGGAGGGCCTCCATCCTGGCTGGGTGGTGGGGCCACGCCCTGGGATGGGAGCCCAGGAGGGGCCAGGAGCAGGGTTGAGGAAAGTGATATGTTTGGTTTGAACAGAACAGCGAAAATGATGATCATCGATTTATTGAGAGGCAGTTTTGCCCAGGGGTTAGTGGTGCTGACCCTGGCACCTGGCTACCAGGGTTCACCCAGCTGGGTGACTTTGGACAAGTTACTCATCTCTAAAACGGAGAGGATAATAGAAGCTACTCCACAGTGTTGGTGTGCGTATTAAATGAGTTAATATATAAGTCGAAGGGCCCTGATTATAGTATCAGCGCATCTCTGTGAATGTTATCTGGCTTGAGGTTGAGTTTGGAGAGTCTTGGCACCCTCAGTTGAGAGCAGGTCCCAGCAGACAGTGGGATATATAGAACTGGAGCTCTGAGCCTTGTATCTGGGGAAGCAGGAAGCGTTTGGTCACCTGTTCCAAGAGCTCCATCCCAGAAGCGCTGGACTGCAGAGCACTGTGCAGGGGATATGGGACAGTGGCCCCATCGTCAACCAGTCTCAAGTGACATACAGACCCTGGCTTCTAAACCAGTGCTGGGCCTCTCCCACCAGCACTTTCTGGCCAAACTCCTTACACCCACACCAAGAGATGTCCTGTTTCTTCAGCTTTGGTACCTGGGAAGGAACTGTGTCTGTGGACAGATTCTCTGAACCTTCTGCTGAGGACTGATTGTCTGAGGAGCAACTCTAGTTCACCAAGGCTTCTGTGCTAAGTAGCAGAGGGACCAGGGCCAGGTTGTGCATTGTTTGGGGTGGGGACCTGGAGCCAGGTGGCCTGGGTCTAGATGCCAGCTGTGCTGCTTCCTCATTGAGTGACTGCAGACACGTGCCTTAACCTCTCTGCTCCTCGGTTTCCTCTTCTGTAAAATGGGCATTATAATAACCCCTACATCCAGACTAGTGTGCTAAGTGAGTTAAATTTGCTTCGAGTGGTGCCCACATATGGCTAGTCCTGAGCCAAGTTCAGCCTCGTCTTCACCTCGTCCTCTTGACAACTCATAGGTGGGTGGCGGTCCTATTCTGTAGGCAAGGAAACAGATCGAGGAGGGCCCTGGCTGGGAATGAGGACTCCCATCTGCCACCAGCTCTGTGGTCACAGGCTGGCAACTTAATGTTCTTCTCCTGTGCTGGGTGGTGGCTCCTCAGGCCTGTTGGGAAGACAGAGAAGTCGGCTGGCAGTGCCAGCAGGGCCACTGAAGACCAAATGAGGGGACAGCAGGGGAGGGGGGATGACTGCAGGGGGTGTAAGTTCATGTTAAGTAAAACTCCTTCCTTAAATCCCTCGAGGCCCTCCCTCTGGTGAAACCCGCCAGCCAGCTGATAAGGGCACCCAGGCCCACCCTCCCCCACCCCCAGCGCTGAACAGTGTGTTCCTGACCAGCTGCCCCTGTCCAGGGCCAGGCTGTTTTGTCTTGGCTTTTGCGTGGCTGGGCCTCAGTGTCAGGTGACAGCCACATAGGGAGGGCTGGGTTGCTGCCACTGTCAGGAATCTGGGCTGACCACACCCAGTATGGGGCAGTGCCTCTCTGTCCCCCACCCCACTTCTGTGCACCCCCTGTGGTCCCGGGCAGCCCTCCTTCCCACCCTGCGACCAGCGCTAGGTACTCCTTGACCCTCAGTCTTGGACGGGGTGCCCCCTTGCTGGAGGCAGGGTAAGGGGCCTCAGGCTCCGTGACAAACCACCTTTGCTCTCCCCCTTCTGGGAACCTGAAATGGGGTCCTGGAGCCAGACTGAGACAGACGGGCTTTCTCTCCCACACCAGACTAATGTTGCAGTTTGGCGGCTCCTACCAATCTCCCTTTCCCAGCTCCCTGTCAAAAGAGTTCATTGTTCTCTCCTCCCTTGGCAGAGGTCACCTGAGCCAGGTAGCTGGATGCTGAGCTCAGGAGATATGGGAGGATGGCCCAAGTGGCTGCCAGGATTTGGTCAACCTCCTAGCCTGAGCCTGAGCCGGAGACGGCTGGGGTCTCCGGCCGTGAGGGCCGGCCCTGGAATCCACACCTACCGTTCCAGGCAGAGCCCACGCCCCACCCACTGTCCTGGGTGGAGGGATGATTGGGGTTACTGTGTGCCGTGGCAGTCCCTGGGGTTGTGTCCCTGGTGCCCTGGGGTTGCTTTCTTTAAGGAAGTTCATACCCTCCTTGCTCCAGGGTCCTGGGACTGTGCCTAAACCCTAAACAAGCTGGGGTGGGGGCAAGACCGGGTTCCTGCCCACGTGGACCAAATCTTCAAAGGCTGTTAGGAGTTGGAGGGAGGGACGCCCAGGGAATGGGAGGGGCACCTGAGCTTGGGAGGACAGCTGGAGTGCAGGCCAGGGGTACCTCGTGGAACCTTCCTGCTTCCCCAGGCTCCTTGGGCCCTGGGTGTTCAGCTCCTCCCTGTTCCTCTCACTTAGCTGACCTCTCCTCTCTCCCCATATCCAAATTCCTTCTCCATTTCTAGCCAGACCTTGCACCCCAGGCTGCTCGTAACTGGCCTGGGGCCCCCACACCTCCTTGCTCCACCTGGTCCCCAGCTCATGACTTGCTTTGCCTCATATGATATTGCCCATTCAGAGATTGGGTCTTATTTGCATGTTGAAGCAGGGCCACCTTCACTCCCTGGACTTGGGGAATCATCCCCTGTCACCACACTATTTACATTTGAACCACTCTCTTAGCCCCAGTTAGTTAGGGCCACCGTGAAATTCCCTCCCCTTATTTTGTATTTGAGAGACCCTTGGTCCCTCCAGAGTTGTCAACTGGGAGAAGATGCCCTGAGGAATGCGAGGGAATGAGGGAGAACCTTAGAAGGAAGTGGGGGGCTTATGGGGCAAGGCCTATGTGCTGCCTCTGTGAGACAGCCAAGCCCTCCAGCCACTGTCAGGTGGTTGTCCTGAGGCTCATCACATTTGAGCCAAGGCCAGCCTGCTCACTGCAGTCATTAGAGTTGTCGTGTTTACCACATACGAAATGAGGCTCAGGGAGGCAAAGTAGCTCACCCAAGTCCAGACACCTTTTAAGGGATAGCGGAGGATTCTAAACTTCATGGGCCTGACTCAATTCCTGTTGTTTGTTTGAAAACCAGCCTTTGGAAAAGAAGAGGGGATGGGTAATAGGGACGGGGAATGGCATAGTGTCCTCAGGACCCCGAAGAAATGAGGAATGAGTATGAGTGATTGAATGATGGGCTCGACCTTTACCTCCCTCTGGGTTAAGAGAAAAGAGCCCACCCTGCAGCAAGAGTGACTCAGGTGAGATGTTAGCAGAACTTCCTGCTGATGAGTTGAGAGGATAATGTGTGGCCTGAACCCTTGACAAAACTGCAGACTGTTTTCTCTTTGGCTTGACTTTTCTGCTGATGCACTGAGGTAGAAGTGTCTAGGGCAGCACCTCGGTTCAGTAGGAATATAATATGAGCCACATGTGTCAATTAAAATGTTGTCGAAGCTTCATTACAAAAATTTTTAAACAAATGTCATTAATTTTGATAACATACTCTGTTTAACCCAATATATCTGAAATATTCTTGTTTCAATATACAGTCAATAGATACTAGATTTTTTTTTTGCTTAGTGGTTCTGTGTTTTAAATACAAACGTGTATTTTACACTTATGGCACATCTCAATTTGGACATTAAATTTTCTTTGGAAATATGTGGCAGTTGGAAAAGATTAGAAGCTTGGTCTGCCTAACTGTAGCCTTTGTTCCTTTGGAACCCAAGAACATACCTGAGAAGTTTTCCAGTAATTGAATTGAGCACCCATTCTTAAATTTAGGTTAATTAAAATTAAATAAAATTAAAAATTCAGTTCCTTGGTGGCACTAGCCACACTGCAAGTTCTCAGTGTCCCACACAGCTCGTGGCTGTTGTACTGGGCATCAGGGCCTGGACCCTCTACTGGCCACCAGGCTCCTGCTGGTGGTTTCCCCCAGGGCCCTCCAAATCCCAGAGGCTTTGGCTTTGGTGATGGGAAAATGCTCTCATCTCAGGAACCTGGCCGAGGCCTAGCGGGGGTCCTGGGGAAGCTTGTCCCACAGGCCATCACATGCCCTGCCCTCCTTTTCCTGGGAAATGTTTACATTCCAGACACTCTGCTATCTCCCCAAGGCTTTTCCAGGCTCTGCATTTTTCACATAGCTGAACAGGAACCTGGGCTGACTGGAGATTGGAGGGGGAGGTCCTGCTGGCATACTTCTGCCCTCCCAGGTATAGCCATTTGCAGGGCAGACTGTGTTCCTGGCAAAGAACCAGGCCTGTGGGGCCCCCACACCTCTGCCTCCCCAGAATAGGCACTCTTGGGAGCCCTCCTCCCTGGGCTGACCCCAGCACAGGGCCTCCTTCTGTGAACCACCAGGCTGGACTAGCAGCATTTGAGTTTGCTCACCTATCACACCAGCTGTCACCAGGACTTATATCCTTCTGCTTCTCTGAGGCCAAGTGAAGACTGGAGCACAGAGCCTTGGGCCTGAGGAGAGCTGCCTCACTGGGGCAACCTTCTGGTGCAGGCCAGAGTCTTCATGGTTTGAGGTGGGGGGGATCTTTAAAGTAGCCGGCTGGCATCCTTTGTCTAGATCTAATCTAGCTCTGCAGGTTTAGGATCCCCTGCAGTGGGAGTTGGGGGGATAGGGTTAGCTGATTAAGAAACAACCAGGAACCTTCCCGAAGATGGTTTGTTGATCTAAATCTCTAGTGCTTTACACCTGACCCTTTTTAACCTGTAATTCCACCCCTGGGACATCTGCCTAAGGAAATACTGAGTTGCAGGCCAAGATAGGAGCCCAAGAAATGGTCATCAGTGCCCCGGGCGACTGCAAAACCTCTAAAAACAAAGTAAATGTTCAGTAATGGAGGCCTGGCAAGTTAGGGCACCTGCACCTAAGGAATAGTCTTCAGGCATTTAAAAATGCTTTTAGTGCCTCTAACAACCTGGGCTGGCTGTAGGTGGAAAAACAGACTACAGAGCTATACATGTACATAGTTATCCATGTGGCCTGGCCCTAATTAGATCTCTGGGACCTAATTAGGTGGAAGGTATAGCTCAGTGGTAGAGTGTGTGCTTAGCAGGCACAAAGTCCTAGGTTCAATCCCCAGTACCTCTATTAAAAAAAAATTATAAATAAATAAACCTAATCACCTCCCCCCAACAAAACTTTTTTGTATTTTAAACTTTTTTTGCAACTTTCAAAGGTTACTTTCCATTTACAGTTATTACAAATATTGGCTATATTCCCCGCATTATAAATATGTCCTGAGCCTCTCTTATACCCAGTAGGTTTGTACCTCCCACTCCCCCAGCCCTATGTATTACCCCTTCTCACCTCTCCCCACTGGTAACCACCAATTTGTTCTCTGTATCTGTGAGTCTGCTTTTTTGTTACAGTCACTAGATTGTTGTAGTTTTTAGATTCCACATATAAGTGATACTGTACGGTATTTGTGTTTCTCTGAGGTCTCTGGTTTTAAGTAAAGACCCACACACACCTACAGTCAGACACACACCCTTGTTAGCAAGGGTTACTCCGGTTGGGGGACCATGGGTGATTTTTCTTTTTCAAACTCCATTATATGTTCCAAGTTTTCTACAATGTGTATTACTTCTATAATAAGAGATGAACAGAAGCCTGTGTCTGCAACAGCACTCCAGCAGCTTCCTCTCTGGGAAGATGGTGGAGGAGAACTCACAGTGACAGCAAAGGCCCCTGAGACAGAGCAGGTCTTCAGCACTGGAGGAGCCTCGCTGAGGGACGGCTGTGGGTTCCGTCGGACCCCAGGGGACCACCTGGATCTGTGGTGCCACCAGGCTTCCTGAGTGACTGGTGCCTCCACTGTGCCAGCCCCCCTGCCAGAGCTTCCCTGCACCCCTGTGGGATGGCTGGGTGGGTCACCCACATTACGGATGGTGGAGGAACCCAGAGTTCTCGGAGAACATGGGGCCAGCACGATGTCTGTGGGAGAGCCATGTGGCCAAGGACTGGGTCAGAAATGGACTGAGGCAGGGGGCCCAGATGGGTCCGGGTAGAGACCTGAACATGACTGAATTCCTCCTTCCTGCTAGGGGTGGCTCTGTGCTGTGGCTCCTCCATCCTGCACTGACCCCTCTCAGCTGTGGAGGGGCGGAGAGTATGTGTCTGTAAACCTATGCCTGTCTGCTTCTCTTTGCAGACGGTGGAGCATGGATTCCCGCACCAGCCCAGCGCCCTCGGCTACAGCCCGTCTCTGCGCATTCTGGCCATTGGCACCCGCTCTGGAGCCGTCAAGCTGTATCCTTACGTTCTCCTAGCTCCCACCCAAGGATGCCCTGGAAGGGGCGGGGGCCTTGCTGTTGATGAGATTCAGGAAGGACCCCCACCCTCCATGGAAAAGCAAGTCACAGATGACCCCTTTTGTTCTGGGATATTCTAAATACTCTTTTAGGGGTCAGCTCTGAATGCAGTGAGTGGAAGCTGGTGAAGGGCCAAGAAGTGTTGTTTTTCCTTCGCCTGTGCACATAAGAGGCAATGGTCTGATCCCAGGGCTCTGTCCAAACCGCAGACAAGGTGACCTCAAATTAGAGGAGCAGTGTTTAGGCAACCACTCTTCCAGACTCTACCATGCACACCCCCCATATACATGCATACCCACCATGTACACGCACACATACACACCAAGGAGTAGAGTGGACTCCCAGTCGGCAGGAACAGCCCTTCCCTGGCCTGAGGCTGGACATGGTCCAGTGAGTCCATTTCAGAGGCAAGCCCACAGGTTCCAGGATGGGAGATCACTACTCGGTTCCCCTGGCCTGTGTCTGGGACCCCTGAATCTGACCTGAGCCCCTAGGGTGGGCTAGGGTGGGACCTAGGAGAATTGGGAGGTGGGTGGTGTGGTCAGCCCAGCCGGCACCTCCTCCCGCAAAGCTGTAATTCCCTCCCTCTCTGCTGCAGGATGGGCAGGGAGGCTGGGTGTGCTGGGTTAGGCTGGAGGTGGTGTATACACAGGAGGGCAGGGGCCCAGGTCCCACACCAGCTCAGCCCTCCCTTAGCTGATTAATCATTGCCAGGCCACAGCCATACCCTGGTTACCGATTCCCAGTGCCAAGACTTGTGGCCATGGCTGCTGTGGGTAGGCCTACAGCAGCACCCTGTTTTCTCACAGGTGCCCCCATGTGGTAGCTGATAGGTCTGTTCAACAGGTTATGGGGTAGGGTGGGGGGCAAGGGCAGCCTCACCGTTGCCAAGATAAGACTTCACCCTTCTACCGAGTCACCCCCCACCTGCCTGCTGGGACAGCTCTCCCTGGTTGGCTGGCCTCACCTTCAGGGGTCAGGTTACTTGCTGTGCGCCCTTAGGCCAGGCCCACGGCTATCCTTCCCACCCTAATCCCTCAAGCAGGGGTCCTGCTGCCTGGGATGAGGGCAAGCCCTTCTCTGCTGCTGGGTATTTACACTCCTTAGCCCAGAGGTCCTGGCCTCGGGGTGGTGTCCTGCCTTCTGGAGCTTTTCCTGAGCATGCTCCTCCTAGCTATGGTGCCCCAGGGGTGGAGTTCATGGGTCTGCACCGGGAGAACAATGCGGTTGTACAGATCCACTTCCTGCCTGGACAGGTGAGGAGCCCTCTCCTTGCCCTCCTTGCTCTCATGTCTTCCAGAAGGCGTGTATGAAGAGGCAGGCATTTGGTGCCCTGGGTTTGGTGCTGATGGGAGGGCCTTGGGCCACCTGCCTTTCCCCAGCCGCGGTCCACAGTCACCCTAACAGTAGCTGGGGGTCTCTTTGAAACAACCAGCATGGGCTAGGCGGTCTCAGTGAATACTGTCCCTCCCTGGTTAAAGAGACAACACGCCCTTGCCCCTGTCCCATTTCTTCCCTAGTGCCAGCTGGTCACCCTGCTGGATGACAACAGTTTGCACCTGTGGAGCCTGAAGGTCAAAGGTGGGGTGTCGGAGCTACAGGAAGATGAGAGTTTCACACTACGTGGCCCCCCAGGGTAAGGACCTGGTCTTGCTTTCCCAGCTGGCTTGACCCCTGCACCCGACTCTGGGTGCCCTGGGAGGAGCAGGCAGGCTGCCGCCTGCCTCCCTCCATCCCACACCGTGCCTACACAGGAGGCTCCAAGGGATTTTTCTCTGCCTCCTAGCCCAAGCTCTCTGCCATCTGTTTTGGCAGAAAAGAACCCAGGTTTGTCCTGGCCCGAGTTGCTGTGGACTGCATTAAAGGATCTCACGTGCCTGCTTCCCCGAGGCGTGGCCTTCCCTGGGAAGGGTGAGGGGTTCAGGGGATCCTGTCATGCCTGCCTAGGCAGCAGCCAGTTCACAAGCCATCATTCCTGTCTGCAGGGCTGCCCCCAGTGCCACGCAGATCACCGTAGTCCTGCCACATTCCTCCCGCGAGCTGCTCTACCTGGGCACTGAGAGCGGCAACGTGTTCGTGGTGCAGCTGCCGGCCTTCTGCACACTGGAGGACCGGACCATCAGCTCGGACGCCGTGCTACAACGGTGAGCCCTGAGCCCAGAGACCCTGCCGCCCTTAGGAACCTGTCCCCTTGAGTTGGGCATGGCTTTCTCCTTTCAGTCCCAGTTATGTCTCAGGAGCTTATAATTTCTCTCCTGAAAGATCTGTGGGGTTGGAAGGACAGACTCTCAGCTTCCTACCTGTCCTCCAAATTGAGAATCTCACCCTGAGATGTGTTAGCATCCTAGCAAGAAAATGAGTCTTGGGAGTAATTTGTCACCTCATTTAAAGGTGAGGAAAATGAGAGTCAAAATGACTGTGTAATGTTACCAACTCTCAGTCTGGCATTCTTGGCACTGATACCACCTCTTTCAAAGCCCCAGGGGCTCCACGAAGGGGCGGGCCAGGCCCAAACCTCCCTTGTCAGCTGGGGTGGCTTCTGCTGATGCTGGTGCTTTGGAGTCACTGCTACGTTTCCCTTTGCACGCAGGCCCCCTGGCCCCAGACACCTGGCAGCCACAGCCCTAGTGAGTGGCTCGAGATCGTTTCGGTATCTTTGTTCCTTAATAGTGGTGTCTGCGGTAGAGAGGGAGTCAGATCTGGTCTGGGTGTGGAGAGAGGGGGCCAGGGCCCAAAAGGGGAGGAGATGAAGGAGTCCAGCAGGAGCTTGCGGGGGCTGGGTTGGTGGCAGGGGAATATTCTGCAGCGAAGTGGGGCAAGGAGGAGGCCAGGGAGCTGGGATGTGAAGCTACTTCAGACTCAAGCTTCCTGACGACTCTGGACTAGGCTTGTGGCACTCAGCCGTCAGTCTCCGGATGAAGGTGAAGCAGGGCCCAGCTGTCTAGGGCAGGACGTTGTTGGGTTGGGAAGATTCTCACTTAGGAATGGGTCCCCCTGAGCACAAACCTGTCTTTCCCACTCTGGATAGGGTAGAGTCAGGGCAGCGTGATCACCGTCAGAGCAGGACTGTTTGCAGGACAACAGGCAGGGCTGGTGTTCAGCCGGGGTGCCTGCTCTGTGGACAGGACAGCAGAAGGACCTGCTCCTCAGCATGTGTCTGTGCCGCACCTGCTTCACCTGCGCTGGTGGGAGTCTAGTCTGGGAGGAGCCCCTTGCCTGGGCTTTTCCGGCCTGAGTGCCTTGGAAACACCTCCAATGGATCTAAATCTTTATTCTAAATATAGAGAATTTGGTTTGGGTTTGAGCATAGAGATACCCTTAGGGTCCTGGCTGTTGCAGTTTCCTACTTGCCATCCTCAGTGTTGGCTCTTGGTTCTGTACCTGCCACCTCACAGTCTCGTGTTAGCTGCAGCACCTCCAGACTTCACATCACATTCCAGGCTCAGAAAAGGAAGAGGAGGTCAAGGCTCAAGGCCAGGCCAACTGATATAGAGAGTTTTGTTCTGTGGGTCTTAAAAACTTTTTTTTAATGAAATACCACCAACCTTACAGAAATGCACCAAGTTTGAATGTATGGTATAATGGATTCTTGTTAAGTGAGCATCTATGCACCAACTCTGAGGAAAGACAGAACTTTGCCAGATCCCCAGGATCCCCCTACCTCCCTTCCCAGTCACGGCTCCCCGCCTCCTTCCCCCAGCAGTAACCTCCACATCCACTTTTCTGGAAATCACTTCCTTGCCTTTCCTTATAATTGTGCCACGTGTGTTTGCATCCTTGGGGGGTTTTCTATATCACTGTCCTGTCCTGTGTGTTGCTTCTCTCCCCCTTGGCAGTGTGTCCTAGTGGCCTTCCTGTGCTGGCACATTCAGTGCCCACTGCTTTGTGGAATGTGTGTGTGTGGCTGTGCCATGCTCTCGGCCACACTCCGTTGGTGGATGACAGTGTGGGCTCACGGCTCTGCCCTCGCCCAGGTTACCAGAGGAGGCCCGCCACCGGCGGGTGTTTGAGATGGTGGAGGCTCTGCAGGAGCATCCTCGGGACCCCAACCAGATCCTCATTGGCTACAGCCGGGGCCTCATCGTCATCTGGGACCTGCAGGGCAGCCGCGTGCTCTGTCATTTCCTCAGCAGCCAGGTAGGGGGTGCCTGGGACACTGGTGGGTGCCGCGTGGTTCTCCCAAGCCCTGTATGCTGAGGTGTGGGGGTGCGGGCGATGGGACTGCCACCCTGATCCCAGCCCACATGTTCTTTCTCTCCTCTCCCACCGTGAAGCAACTGGAGAACGTCTGCTGGCAGCGGGATGGCCACCTGATTGTCAGCTGCCATTCTGACGGCAGCTACTACCAGTGGCCCGTGTCCCACGACACCCAGCAACCAGAACCCCTTCGCAGCTGTGTGCCTTACGGTCAGTGCTCCGCCCACCACCTGGGGCCGCCTTCCAGTGAGCGGGACAACACCCTCTCTGTTTCCAGGTGGTCTCTCCTGCTGTCAGGTGTAGGCATCCAACTCACAGAAGCAAAACCTGGGGCCCAGAGGGGTGACAGCTTTGTCCAAAGCCGCGCAGCAGGTTTTCTGATACCCATGATGGCTCAGGGAACTGCTCCAAGCAAGACACCCAAGCATAGGTCTGCTCCGCGGGGACAAACCCGTGTGCCTCTGAGAGTGGGAGGACTTGTTCAAGCTGACTCCTTTTCTTTTAGGTCCCTTTCCTTGCAAAGCTATTACCAAAATCTTCTGGCTGACCACTAAGCAGGGGTAGGTATCAGTGCTCTGTCCTTTTCCTTTTCCCTTTCCAGAACCTTCTTGGGGGGCTGGAAAGTCTGCAGACCTCTGCCTAGGGGAGAAGGTGCTTCGTGAATGCCTTTGGGCCCCACATCTGGGTCTCCAGGGAAGGGAGAGGGGCCATTCGTACCTCTCACTGGCTAATTCCTGAAAAAAAAATTCCCGTTCTTTCATTTCTGTCATCCTGGAGAGATGATTCAGGCCAGCAGGTTTCCAGCTCTGTTTTAGCAGCAGGCCTGTTTCACCAAGCAGAATGATACAGGGAGACCTGATGGATAAGCAGCAAAGGGCGGTGGGGGTACTCTGGCTGGAGCAGGAGTGGCAGTAGTCTCAGAACCTGCGGCCTGCCCTTCCGCTCACCCCCAAGCTCTCCTGGGCTCTTGCAGTTGAACAGAGATGAGGCTCTGCCCCAGCCCCTCCTGGGGACCTTGAGTGAACACTCAACTCACTCTGAGACTGGCTGGCCTCCCAGGCCCTGCCACAGAGGCCAGTCACAGAACAGCCCATGTGGCTGGCTCACGGGGTGGTATGGCTGTCAGCAGTGGTGTTGGAAGCCCCAGCCCACCTGAGCTCCTGCTCTTCTGTTCCCTGCCAGGTTGCCCTTCACCATCTTCCAGGGTGGCATGCCACGGGCCAGCTATGGGGACCGCCACTGCATCTCGGTGGTCCACAATGGCGAGCAGACAGCCTTCGACTTCACCTCTCGGGTCATCGACTTTACTGTCCTCGTCGAGGCAGGCCCTGGGGCTGGTAGGCAGGAGTGGGTTCGGAGGGCTATGGAGGTGTGGGGATGCAGGCCCATCCCCCATTGGAAAACAAGGGGGAAGGGCCTGCAGGTTTCCCCAAACCTGTTCCTCCCTGAGTTCCTTAGCCCCACCACACCTCTTCTTAGTGCCCCCGAGGCTTCTCCCCTTCCTCCCTCCTTCCTGGCCACACCTCCCACCCACCCCAGGCTCTCTTTGGCTCAGATGGGATTTAGTCCAAAGCGGGCAGATCTGCACTCTTGGGTTTAACACCCACCCAAGCTGAGGCACGGGGCTCCTGGCTTGGACATGGTGAAGCCCTCCTTATGGGGTGGGGCAGGAACAGTGTGGGGCCAGCTGAGCCGACCTCCTGGAGCTCAGCCGGGCCAGCAAAGCCCTGAGTCAGCTTCCTAAATTGGGTGACAGGCAAGGCCAGAAAGGGCCTGTGTTGAAACCCAGAGAGGTGGCATAGCGGGAGATCTCCAGGAGTGCGGGCCCCCTCCCCAAAAGACTCTGAACCGACAGGCCAGGTCGGGGCGGACCTGCTCGGGACGCCCTGGGCTGTGTTCTCCCAGCCTCACCAGTAGCCGTTTGGAGGGAGACTCTGAACTTGCTCTTCCTCCTTTCTGAGCCTCTTTCCTCTTCACAGCTGACAGCATGCTGGGAGCAGGGTCCAGATTTTTGGTCTGTTCTTTCAGATTTTCTACATTGGTGATTGTGTCATCTGTGAACAAAGACAGTTTTATTTCTTTCTTCCAATCTGTATACCTTTTATTTCCTTTTCTTGTCTTGCCACCTTGGTTAGTACTTGAAAGGGAGTGGCAAGAGGAAGCAACCTTGCCCTGTTCCTGGTCTCAGCGGGAAAGCTTCAAGTTTCTCACTGTTAAGTATTACGTTAGCTGTAGGGGTTTCCTAGGTATTCTTTATCAAGTTAAGGAAGTTCCCCTGTATTCCTAGTTCACTGAGAGGTTTTATCATAAATGAGTGTTGGGTTTTGTCAAATACTTTTTCTGCATCTATTGATATGATCATGAGATTTTCCTTTTTTCAGCCTATTGATGTAATGGATTGCGTTCACTGAGTTTCAAATGTTTACATGGCCTTGCATATCTGGAATAAATCTCACTTAGTCGTGGCATATAATTCTTTTTATGCATTGTTGGATTCAGAGCTTGATATTAAATGCAGGCTTTTTCCCTGGCTCCAGCCCCAGAGCTTCAGATTCCACAGGTCCAGGCTGGGGAAACTGCTCCTAGTGGCTCCCACAGCCCCTGACCTTGGCCTGTCCCTGCAGCCTTTGATGACCCCTATGCTCTGGTGGTGCTGGCCGAGGAGGAGCTGGTGGTGATTGACCTGAAGACGGCTGGTTGGCCTCCGGTCCAGCCTCCCTACCTGGCTTCCCTGCACTGCTCCGCCATCACCTGCTCCCATCACATCTCCAACATCCCTCTGAAGCTGTGGGAGCGGATCATCGCTGCCGGCAGCCGGCAGAACACACACTTCTCCACCATGGTGGGTCCAGCCCCTTCCCCCGCCCCACCCCAGGGCCAGGCCCCACCATGAACTTCTCTGTCTTTTCCTCCAGGACTGGCCCATCGATGGTGGCACCAGCCTGGCCCCGGCCCCACCCCAGAGGGACCTGCTGCTCACAGGGTAGGTGATGTTGATGGTACTCTCTTCCTGCCTAGTGGGATAAGTGAAGTGGGAGCAGAACCCAGAGGAGTGCGTGCCTGGCCCGGCATGCCTCTCACGGGTGGCAGGCGGGCTCTGCCCACAGGCATGAGGATGGCACGGTGCGGTTCTGGGATGCCTCGGGTGTCTGCTTGCGGCTGCTCTACAAACTCAGCACGGTACGGGTGTTCCTCACCGACACAGACCCCAGCGAGAGCCTCAATGCCCAGGGCGAGGATGAGTGGCCACCCCTCCGCAAAGTGAGGCCCGGAACCTGGGAACCAGGGAGGGCAGGGATGGGGCAGGTCTGGTGCTCATGGCCACTCACGGGCCTCCTCTCCCTTGTCAGGTGGGCTCCTTTGACCCCTACAGTGACGATCCTCGGCTGGGCATTCAGAAGATTTTCCTCTGCAAGTACAGCGGCTACCTGACTGTGGCTGGCACAGCAGGGCAGGTAGCAGGCCGGGCTGGGTGTGGGGAGCAAGGGTGAGGAGTGATCAGGTGACTTTGGGCAGCATCCAGGCCCATAAGCTTCTGTCTCAGGATTGGGGGGGGGCAGAAAGGACAGGAGCCAGCCTCCTGAGCGCCCACTGGTGGCGTCACCAGGATCATCACCCACCCTGTGGCTCTGGCTTTGCCCAGCGAATAGAGGTTCCCTGATCCCATTAGAGGGAGGCCTTAGGATGGTTGTTTCCCCTCTAGAAACCAGAATTAAGGGCGAAGGGTGGGACACTTCTGATCCTGATTGGGCCCTGGGCCTTGGCATGGGTCCCAGGTCCTTTGCTGTCCCGGCCATCAGGTCCCTGAGGTCCCATGGTCCCTTGGTGCTGGGGATTGCTCAGCCTGTCTGCCACCCCGCCCAGGTGCTGGTGCTAGAGCTGAATGACGAGGAGGCGGAGCACGCCGTGGAGCAGGTGGAGGCTGACCTGCTGCAGGACCAGGAGGGCTACCGTTGGAAGGGGCATGAGCGCCTGTGTGCCCGTCCGGGGCCTGTGTGCTTTGAGCCTGGCTTCCAGCCCTTCGTGTTGGTGCAGTGCCAGCCCCCGGCCGTGGTCACCTCCTTGGCCCTGCACTCCGAATGGCGGCTCGTGGCCTTCGGCACCAGCCATGGCTTTGGCCTCTTTGACCACCAGCAGCGGCGGCAGGTCTTTGTCAAGTGAGCAGCTTGCCCAGGGTGGCTGGGGCCCAGCTCTGTGATTGGCAAGGTCCCTTGGGCCCCAGCATCGCTGACAGGCCAATGTCACCCCAGGTGCACGCTGCACCCCAGCGACCAACTGGCCTTGGAGGGCCCACTATCCCGTGTGAAGTCCCTAAAGAAGTCTCTGCGCCAATCTTTTCGCCGGATACGTCGCAGCCGAGTGTCCAGCAGGAAGCGGCGTCCTGCGGGCCCTCCAGGAGAGGTGAGGCCAAGGCTGGCAGCAGGTCCAAACTGCCCCTCCATCCCCCACTTGCCTTGGTCACAAGCATAGGCCCTGAGCTGCACTGCACAGGTTCATGCCCTGCCCCACTGCCCACCAACTGGGTGACCTCAGATCTGTCACACTGCTGCTCCATGCCTCAGCTTCCCCAAGTGTAAAAGGCAGTCATTGTTAACACCTCAGGGTCAAGTCCTTGGTCAATATCTCCAGGCAAGTGGCGGTGAGGGCTGTGGCCAGTCTTCCCCTGGAAAGATCACTGTTGAGCAATGTGATGCTGCCCTCCACCCCCCAGGAGGGAAGGCCAGAGCCCACCCTCAGGCCCATCCCAACCCACTGCAGGTGCCTGAGGGGAGCACCAGGGCAGAGCGGGCCGGCCTGCAGAACATGGAGCTGGCGCCCGTGCAGCGCAAGATCGAGGCCCGCTCGGCAGAAGACTCCTTCACAGGCTTTGTCCGGACCCTCTACTTTGCTGACACCTATCTGAAGGACAGTGAGTGGCCAGCCTGAGATGGGGGCCTGGGTGGGCGCCCGCTGCCATGAGGGTGTGTTGGAGGCTACTGCCTGCTGGCTGGTGCCACCCTAAAAGGGGCTTCCCTCTGTGAGCAGGGGAGACCAGAGCCCCCACCTGCCTCTTTCCCTCCCTCTCCTGGGTCTCTGAGTCAGGTCGCCCTGGCTTCATATCCAGGCTCCACCACTCTCTAGAAATGTGACCTTGGACATGTCACTTAGCTTTTCTGGGTCTCAGCTTCTCCCCCTGTGCAATGGGGTAATAGCTTCCTCCTAGAGTGGCTGTGAGGGTTGGGACATGCTGTATGCCTGCTGGTACCCAGTAGGCCCTATAGAAGCTTCCCTGGCTGTTTTCCCCATGCTGCCCTGCTGCCAGGGCAGGGGTGGGGTGAGGGCTGTCCACTGCTGGATCTCAAGGGCTGAGCTGTCTGAGTTTGGGATCATCTGTACATGGGGCCCTTGGTTGTCTACACCCAGGAGGTAGGCAGGGCCCACAGCAGCTCCATTTTACAGAGGAAGAAATTGAGCCTTATGAAATTTGCTGACTTGATGCTGGAGTCACACAGGTAGTGAGTGGCAAGGCCAGGAAGTAAGCCCAGGTCCCTGGCTCCCTCTGACCCTCAGAGCCAGGGGTTAGATGTAAACCTTTGCCTCCTGTCAGGCTCCCGCCACTGCCCCTCGCTGTGGGCTGGCACCAATGGTGGTACCGTCTACGCCTTTGCCCTGCGTGTGCCCCCTGCCGAGCGGAGAATGGATGAGCCAGTGCGGGCAGAGCAAGGTGAGTACTGAGTTGGGGAGAGCAGAGGGCCTGGTCTGCCTGGGCTGGGAGCCAGCTGGTGTCTCCAGCCTTGCCTCCACCTGACCACCAGCCCCACCACCTACATCTGTCCCTGTAGCCAAGGAGATCCAGCTGATGCACCGAGCACCAGTGGTGGGCATCCTGGTGCTGGACGGACACAGCGTACCCCTTCCTGAGCCCTTGGAAGTGGCCCACGACCTGTCAAAGAGCCCAGACATGCAAGGAAGCCACCAGCTACTTGTCGTGTCGGAGGAACAGTTCAAGGTGCCTTGTTGGAGGAGGCTGGGTCCCCCGGGAATCCCCCAGGACATTTGGGGGCACCCAGACCTTGGGCACAAATGACAATGGCTAGGAGTCACACACTTTGTAGCTAGTGTGTGAGGGTTGCAGAGGCACAGGAAAGGAAAGGGGTCTTGGTGGATTCCCTGGGCCCCAGTGGGGACACATGGCAGACATGTCTATGGAAGACACAGAAAATGCAGATGGGGAAATAAGAGGCCCTGACAGCCTGCAGTCCAACTGCAGTGACTCCATGTCTGAGCATTGAGAGAGGGAGCCCAAGACAGCCAGCTTTGCTGGGAAGCTGGGTGGGCGGCATCCGGCGGAGGGCAGAGCCCAGCGGCAGCATCGGGCAGGAAAGCGAGAAGTGCTTGCCTGGCTGGATGAAGCGCTGCAAACTGGTCTGGCCCCAAATGTGACCGGCTGCCCTGTGCCCCAGGTGTTCACGCTGCCTAAGGTCAGTGCCAGGCTGAAGCTGAAGCTGACCGCCCTGGAAGGCTCACGGGTGCGGCGGGTCAGCGCGGCCCGCTTTGGCAGCTGTCGAGCCGAGGACTATGGGGAGCATCACCTGGCCGTCCTCACCAACCTGGGTGACATCCAGGTGGTCTCACTGCCCCTGCTCAAGCCCCAGGTGCGTTACAGCTGCATCCGCCGGGAGGACGTCAGCGGCATCGCCTCCTGTGTCTTCACCAAATATGGCCAAGGTGTGTAGGTGGCGGGCGCCTCGGGGACCTCTGCCAGCAGGGCTGGGTTTGGGGCTCCCACTGCACTGCGGGGGCTGCTGGGAAGGGCAGCCACGGGTGTTGTGGCCAAGGCCAGGCTCCTTAGGCAGAGAACTTTGGGAGAGGCTCTGGCCCCTAATACCCACTGGGAGGGAAGCTGTGTTGGCAGCCGCAAGGCCCAGGAGACTCAGGCTGGCCTCACTTACCAGACTCCTCCACCCCCCAGGTTTCTACCTGATCTCACCCTCCGAGTTTGAGCGCTTCTCTCTCTCTACCAAGTGGCTGGTTGAGCCCCGGTGTCTGGTGGATTCAGCAGAAACAAAGAACTACAGCCGCCCCTGCAACAGATCGAGCCCTGAGAAGGCCTCGGGCCAAGCCAGGTAGGTAAAAGGGCAGATGGTCTTTGCTGCAGCCCCTCCTCCTCCTCCCCGGGGTACCCACGGGAGGCTTGCTAGAGTCGCCTTCGCCTGTGAGCTCAGCCCACCCTCCCAGCTCAGGCTCTTTGTCTTCCTTCGTATGCCCCACTCCCCCGTGCAAGCTGGTCAGTCGACCTCATTCTTTGTGGAACCAGGGCTTTCCGAGCCAGAGTGGGGAGCCTAGTGGCCCCCAGTCCTTACTGTCTCTTCCCCTACAGGAACTCAGGGAGCCAGAGTGACGGAGAGGGTAAGACAGGCCTCCATCTAGGGCAAAGGTGTTGTGAGCACATCTGGGCCCAGACCTGGAGATGGAAAGGGGAGGGAAGGGGACCCCAGGTGAGCAGCTGGTGTTCGGGCTGGGAGTAGAAACAGCTTCCCTTCCAGTCCTGAGCTCTAGGCTCCAGCACCCCAACCCCCATAAGGAGGAAGCTGGGGCAGAGAAGGGCCTAAGGCTCACCTGACCTGGCCTCTGCCTTCCAGAGAGGAGATCGGGCCCTGTGATGGAGCACGCTCTGCTCAATGACGAGAGTGAGTCAGGGCAGGAGTCAGTGGGCTGGCAGGAGGGACATTTGGGGTGGGGGAGTGCCTGGAAGGCCAGGGGAAACTGAGGGCCATTTCTCTGAAGGGGGGCAGACCTGTCCAGCACCCCATCAGTAGAAAGGGGAGAAAGACTTGGCCCGGCCCCTGCTGGCCTCACCAGGCCTCTGTTCCCCACCCCTGCCCTGCAGAGGTCCTGAAGGAGATCCAGAGCACGCTAGAGGCAGACCGAGGGTGAGTTATTGCTCGGGCTTGCAGGAGTGGACCTCGAGGTGCCAGGAGAGTTCTGGGAATAAGGGTCCTTGACTGGAGTCCCCATGGAGGGTGACTGCCCTGTCTTTGTCCACTCAGGAGCTGTGGTGATTGGCGTTCTCAGCGAGTGGCCGTGGGGTACAGCCTCGGCAACGGGGGAGGTAAGGGCTCTGGGCACTGCCGTGGGGGGGGGGCGGCCAGGAGGGTGCGCTTCTGGGGAGGGATGAGCCCCTGTCCTGCTTCCTCAGGATCTTTGGGTCCATCTCAGCCCTGACACATGCCTCTGCTTGTCTTGAAAACCTCCATGTCTGGGCTCAGGTGGGTGACTGAGGCCCGTGTCCTGCCCAGGATGCCCCTAAGCTGCTGTCACTCTATCTCCTCCTGCAGCGGAATGAGCAGGATGCACGTCCGGGCTGCACGATGAACACACACTACTGAGGGTTCTTCCTCGGGGCACTGCCCCGCCTGGAGAGGCCCGCGCACTGGGCCATGCAGGGCCTGGGGGCATCCCCAGTTCCCACTCTGCTGCTGCTCCTGGCCTCAGGAGGAGAGGGACCCCAGGCCCCTGGGGCTGGCCCTCCCCGGGCCTTGACTCTCTCAGTTCTTTTGTCAATGTTGCACAGTTTTTAACCTCCTCTTCCCCTTTTTGTAGTGGGCTGGATTTTAAATTATAAATGTTAACTGCCTCCAGGTGAAAATGAGTTTTTAATAAACACCTTATTACCTCTTCTCTGGACTGGCCCAACGACTTTAATTTTTAATTGTGCAGAGATTTTTCCCATATGAATGGAAATGATCGTTAGCTGGTTCCTTACCTTTGCCCCTGGGATGCGTCCCCTGGACCAGGCAGGTGCTCAGGAGAATGTTTTTTAAGCCACTTGAATCAGATCAAACTGGTTGTGTCTGAACACTATATGCCTTCTCTTTTTGGGAATAAATGATGAGCTAACCATCTTGAGTCTGTCTGACTGCATCCCTGGGTATGGAGGCAGAGGGAGGCCCCAAGCTGCCCTGGCTGGCCTTTCCTTGCCATCAGAAGGGGAAGATGCCCACAGTATCTCAGCCCTGATGGCTTCTTCCGGGCTTCGGGGAAAGACTGTGGGGTGCTGCTGGCGGGGGGTGAGGGGGTGGCGGTGCCTGGAGGTGAAAGGTCTCAGCCCCAGGTGATGGGCTGGATTAAACTGCTGTGAAGGTTCTTGTAAGCTGGAGACTTGATTACTTGGGCTACATCTTTATCTGCCTGTCTCTATTGAGCACCTACTATAGGCCAGGCACTTGGGGTTCAGAGGTGGCCAAGGCAATGTGGTCCCTGCCACTGTGGGGCTCATGGTCCTTACAAGAGCTTGCAAGAAGTGTTAGGATGAGGAAAATCCAGGGCCTGTGAGAAATGTGCCTGGGGAGGTGACCAGGAGTTGGCTGGGTGGACTGTTCTGCACAGAGGACAGGGGGACAGCAGCAGGTTGTTGGAAATCACACAGCCAAGAAGTGGGTGTAGTGGGTGCTGAGCCTGTCTGGTCCCAAAGCCAATTCCCAACAGAAGTGCCATGGAGCAGAAGAGCGGGACCCTTGAATTTGGTCCCCAATTCCTCATTTACTGGCTGTGGGTCCTTAAGCCATTCATCCTCCCTGAGCTGTTTCACCATCTGAGAAATGAGATCACATCCCCCTCCTCAGGTTTGGGGAGGTTTGAATGAAATGAAGCCTGGGAAGGGACCTGCTGCTCAGGGGATAAGGCAAGCTTTGCCACGCCCACCCAGCTGAGTGAGATACAAGCCCTGGCCTGGATCAACGGGAGGCATAGGAGGGCACAGAAGACAAGAGACTGGAGAGGGGGCACAGTGCTCTCTGCTCCCAGCGCTCACAGGACACACTGTAATGGGCTGGAGAAACCGAAATCCCATTTGTAGCTGGTGGTGACTCCTCACACCTGTTCTCCTGCCAGGCCTTGGGAGCCAGACAGCCTGAGTGGGCATCCCAGCTCTGACACTCAGCTGTGTGCCTCAGTCCTATCATCCATCAAATGGGAATCCTTATGGCACCCACCACGTAGAATGTTTCCAAAAATTAAGTGAATTCATAGTAAAGTGCTCAGAACAGTACCTGGCACATAATAAGCCCTGAAGTGTCAGCTATTATTATTTTTATTATCATCCTTGTCATTATTATTAGTCCAGGGTAAAACAGTGAGCTCTTTCTCTATCTTTTAAACTATAAAATGCATACAGAATAGCATAAGTCATGGGAGTACAACCCAGGAAATATCCACGAACTGAACAAATAGTATCACCCTGTGACCCTTCTGGTCACTACCAACCCGCCACCCTCACCCCAAGCAGCATCCTGTAACTAGCGCCGTTTCCTCTTTTTGAAATTTATATAAATAGAATCACAGAGTGATTCAGTAACTCTTCCATGCCTGGCTTCTTTCACTCACCATTACGTTTGTGAGACAGCCCATGCATGTTGCTGGTGCTTGTAGGCCCTTATCAACGCTGTGTGGTCACCCACTGTGTGAACACATCACCCCACATTCTGCTTTTTTGCAAGTGAAATGAGCCCTCTGAATATCATTGCCTTTTGTCTTGGTCATTATTGGTGGTGGACTTTCACAGTCAAAGATACTGGTTTTATGAGTTACTTGCTAACTGATGTTACCCAAGAGCTTGTGCTCCTTTGGGACAGCTGCTTCCTTCCCTAGAAGGCTGCTTCCTTGGGAATGCAGACTACAAAGGCCGAGTAACTTTCAACTCCTTGCTCAAACCAGGACTCTGGGCTGTGAGTGTACCTCCTGGGTAATGTGACTGCTTGCAGCAGATTCACCCAGGTTTGAGGCTGTCTCCAGGAGATGTGCAGAGAGGTGAGTGTAAGGCAGGTACCAGCCAACTGGAGAGCATTCTAAGGAAAGTGCCACAACCTGGAATGTCACTCCCTCCTCCGCCTCTGATTCTGGCTGGGGCAGCTGGAGAGGAGAGGCCAGAGTGAGTGGTCAGCAGGGGGACAGGAGTCCTATGGGGCAGGTCACAGGCCCTGGCTGGATATCTCATCTGGCTCCATCTTGGATGCCCCAGAACCTGCCCTGCAGCAGCTTCCTGGCCCTGGGGCCATCCAAATGGGCTCATGAATCCTGCCTGGGTTTAACTACAGTATGACCACCAAGAAACAGACCCACACCCAACAGAAAGATGGGTAAAGGATGAGAAAAGATAGGCCTCGTAAGAAAAGAAAAAAAGCTGAATGAGGGAGAAGAGGTAATTATTTTCACAGAGAAATGAACTTAAAAGGCATTGATATTTTGTCACATTTCACAGTGGCAAAAATGTTAGGTAACACCATGCCTTGGTGCTATGTGAAAAATGGGTGGTCTCCTATCTTGTTGGTAGAAGTGTAAATCGGTACAACCTCCATGGAAAATTTGGAATGCTCCAAATTAAAAATGCACATACCCTATAGTCCAGCAATTCTACTTTTAGGAACTGATTCTGCTTGGATACAGTGAAATCAATAGTGTTTGTCATTGAAGCGAAAGAAATGAAGGCAGCATCCATTTCAGATGTAAAACTCTGTTAACCTAAAACAATAAAGAAAGCCGGTTATTTGTACTAGCAACATAGGTTTACTCGGGAGCAGAAAAGAATTACAATTTGGGACAGCAATTATGGCTAACCACATACAACTCTGGTAAAGCAAAGGAGAGGAAAATTTTATAGAGAAAGGGAAGTTGGGAGGGGCTGTTATAAACAAAAAGTCCATTGGAAGAAACTGAGAGTTTGAACTATAGTAGCTTTTCATTGGCTTAGTTAGGCAGTTTCTCATTGACTGAGTTGTTGCCAGGCAAAGAGAAAGTCTTCCTCCTGCTGTCCGTGGTAGAGTCACATCCTGCCTAAGATCCAAAGCACATTTTCTTTCTCTTGGGATCTGTAATGAGGTGAAATGATATATGTGTGAGCCCTCCCCCTTCTGGCCTCTGGGCTCCATTTCAGTGAGGTTTTCCTTTATTAATTTTCACACTATTAATAAAGAATTGGTTAAACAAGGCATATTCATTTGCTAGAATAATATACAGATGTAAAAAGAAAAGAAAAAGATTTTTATGTACTGTTAGGAACTCCCCAAGTTAATCTGTATGATTGGGAAAAGCTAAGTGAAGAGCTATGAGCTAGGTAAGCTTCCACCTGTGCTCAAAGGGAAAGAGCTATTTGCTGTTCTCTGCATGGATGCTCTTGAAGGAAATACAAGAAACAGGTAGTGGAGGGTCAGGAATGGAAAACTTCATCTTGTGGATTTTGAACTATGTGAATGTATTTATTACCTGTTCAGAAAATTAAATATACTAACAACACACACATTGGGGCAATCAGAAACGTATGGGGTCTGGTTATGTTTCATGACTAACAGGCATTTGTGTTACACCAGTTCAAGATTCACTTATGTTTTATGCAGTTTTCTTTAAATTGTATTTCACAATCTAGAAGTACAACAGCAAACCTAAGGAGACTCAGGGAGTACCGGCCGTGTGCCAGTTAGCTGGGTCCCAGCCTCCTGGAGCAATCCAGGGGGCCAAGGAGGAGAGTCTGTGCCCCTGGAGCCCCCAGGACGAGGAGGACAACCCAAACAGGTTCTTCCCTGCTGAAGAAGCAAGTGAGGTGGGAGCAGAGCGTGGGCCCCCTCAGTTTGGCGCGGTGCCAGGCTGGCCCAGCTGGCAGCCACTCCAGGCAGCAGGTTGCCCTGTCCACGGCCTTTGCCCACAGCTGCCCTTCTCCTCTTTCCTGGGAGGCCTCCACTCTATTGTTGGCTGAAAGGGTCAGGCCCCGCAGCCGCGTGCATTATTGATGCTCATGCGTAAGGCGGGAGACTCAGGGGCGGGGCGTAGATTAAGCCCTTAGCCCCCTCCGGAGCTGAACCCGTGTGCCGAGGGCGGCAGATCCTAGGGAAGAGGAGAGGAGGGAGACGCCAGGAAGCCATGGGTGGGAGGAAGGGCGAAGGGCCCCAGCGCCCGGAGGGAACCGAAAAGCTAGCCTCGGGGCAGCAGGAATCAGGGTCAGTCAGCACAGACGGCGCGCCCAGCCAGGAACGCCGAAAGGGCCGCAGTAAGGCCCGAGGGGCGAGACCGGTCTTGGAGCCCGCCACCGCGGGAGGCCAGGAGAACCCTGGTGGGCGCAGGAAGTCCACCGTAGAGGAGAACAGCGACTGCGGCCTGCCAGAGGCTGGGCCGCAGCCAGAGGCCAAGAGGAGCCAAGGCAGCGAGCGGCGTCGGGGATGCGGGCCTAAGGAGAGCCACAAGCCCGAGGACGGCTGCGGAGGGTGCCTGGAGAAGAGTCTCCCCCGAGGAGGAGGGAGGACACGCGAGCGCGACCGCCGCAGGCGGAGAGGAAAAGGGCACAGCCGCTCGGTTCTGCCGGGCCGCCGAGAGACCCGGAGCCTCGATGGGGACACGTCGGGTGGAGACGGGGGCAGTTCCTGCCGGGACAGCGAAGCTCGAGAGGCCTGGGAGAGCGGCAGCCAGGGCGGCGGGGTCCCGGAGCTGCGGCCCAACTCGGAACAAACGGACACGGGCTCTGGAGGCACCCAAACCTGTCTGGAGCCAGCGCTGGAGACGCCAGGAGAGCGCCCGAGCAGCGATGGCATCAGCAGCGACGGCGTCAGCAGCGACGGCAGGGGCAGCTACCAGCCCTCTGCCGAGCCCCAGAGCCCGGAAGGGTCGTCGGGGGCGAGGCCCCAGGGAGAGACTGAGGATTCTGGGACAGACACGGACTCGAGTCTGGGGGGGGCCGGGCCTGGACGGAGCCCATGGGCAGCCCCAGGAACGGCGAGCCGGGCCACTGAGGCCGAAAAGGCTGAGCCGGACGGAAAAGCCACGGCTCCTAGTCCCCTCGAGGGCAGCCGCGCACGCGTTCCCCGGAGCTTGTGGGCTTCTCGAGACCCAAAGCCGGCCCGAGACGCAAGGGACAATGGCCTGCAGCTGGAGGCAGAGCCGCGGGGCGCCGAGCCCGTAAGAGCCGAGGCCTCAACTGCCCGGGGTCAACGCCGCCAGGTTGGAAAGGTGGTGGGGAAGGTGCAAGGTACGGCGGGAGAGAGCGTAGCGGGAACTGGAGGAGGAGACGGGTCCAGGGACCTAGGCGCCGCTGGCCGCC